TTACAAAGTGAGAGGAAGTCCCCCGTGGTAGCTTGAACTCTCGCTTCCACTGTTGACTCCCGCTCTCGCCGCTCCTCCGCTATCCGCCCGGGAAACGCGCCTTCCGTCAGTGAAACGCGCCATCCGCCCGGGAAAATGCGCCATCCGCCCGTAAAACGCGACTTCCGCTCGCGAAACGCGCCATCCGTCCGGGAGACGCGCCTTCTGACCGCGAAACGCACCGTCCGCCCTCGAGAAGCGTCGCCGTGCGTCTGTGAGGCCCTCTGCAGGAAGAAACCAACCACGTTAGAAACTAAACGAAAGGAACCGAAACCTTCAAGGCGGCGGGAAAGGCGGCAAGCAAAAGTTGGTTGAGTTACCCCAACCGCAGCGAGGCGCAGCTTGTAGCGAACCGAAGCGTCGCCAAACGCCTCCGATGCGCCGTGCGACGTTAGACATGCCGAAGAAGCATCACCCGTCGCCACATCGTCACGTCATGCGTCCGCCATCCCCGCCCGCCATCCGTGAGTCGCGCCCATGCGTCGCCGCGCGTCGCTGGCGAACGGTCAGCTTCTGCAGAAAAAAGAGAAAGGTTTCGTCAGATTTCGTCAAGAATTCGTATATGTCAAAGAGAAAGATACGAAGCGAAGCGAACTGCTAAAAAAAGGAATCACCAAAGTGCGAGGAGCTGCTGAAGGTCACGTTACCTCTATTTCGCTGCTGCTGCGTCGGCACCATCACCGATCGTCGCTGCTGCTGCGTCGGCGCCTTCATCGATCGTCGCTGCTGCGTCGGCGCCTTCACCAATCGTCGTTTGAAAGCTTCGGTCGCCAAAATGTCTGCATCAGGAAACGGCATCAAGTTAGTACTACTAGAAAAAAAAAAAAAAAAAAAAAAAAATCAATTGGATAATCGTAACGGCGAAACGGCCAAAGAAAATCGAGTGGAACAAAGACTGTGCTTACCAGTGACGAGGGGCAGCGATGACAGAGGCCGCCAGCGGGACTTGACGTCAGGAGCAACGGCGAAGGCGACGTTGATTATGAGCAGCGGGACTTGGCGTCAGGAGCAACGGCGACGGCGACGGCGATTATGAGCAGCGGGACTTGGCGTCAGGAGCAACGGCGACGGCGACGTTGATTATGAGCAGCGGGACTTGGCGTCAGGAGCAACGGCGACGGCGACGGCGATTATGAGCAGCGGGACTTGGCGTCAGGAGCAACGGCGACGGCGTCGGTGACATATTAGTACTTGTCGGAACTTTCGTGTCTCGGCCATCTTCCTTCGCCAAGACGGTCGCCATGATGTTCGCCAAGAAGGTCGCCGAGGTCTGAAAAATGAAGAAGGCAAGATATTAGTACTTGTAAAAAGAAACCGAAGTTACGTGAAAAAAAACTTTGAAGTGATGTACCATTGGAGACAAGTTGGTTATTGGCGACGGTCGGCGAGGCGACCTTGAATGCATCCGTAGCTGCGCCAGGGCTTGAAACATTCCGTAGCGCCTCTAGCCATCTTGTGAGCTTGAGACGGTCGCCGATGAGGTCGCCAAGGTCTGAAAAGGAAAAAGGCAACACATTAGTACAATCAACAAAAATGAAAACTAAGACAAGAAGAAGTTGATTCAAAGTCCAAGTCGGTTTACGTACCTCAGCCGAGTTCAGAAGTCCGCCATTGGCGACGTTTGCCGAACAGTTGGTGACGGGCTTGAAACCCGTTGGAGGCGTTCTTCCGGTTATCATAAGTGCTTGAGTACTTCCTTCATGAAGACGACAGCGACGGTGGAAGCTCCTATCCGTTTCCGGCATGGATTAGGTGGCTTAGGTCTGAAAAGAAGAGAAAGGATTAGTAAAAAGAACCGAAGAAAAGACCAGCGACAATGATCGCCAATCGGCATGACTTACTTCAACAAGAAGCGCCTTTCGCGACGACGGTGAGTGATCGCCAATCGGCATCCTTGACTTCAGGTTGGGCTTGAGAAGCTTGAGAGCAATCGGCTTCAGGTTGTCCACACGACCGTCTTCGTTCAGGTGGCCCGTCGTTGTGTTGGTGAAGACTGTAATCGCCGCAACGACGGGAGAGGCCGCACCAGCAGCATTTTGAATCAGCAAGGGAGGCGCCGTGCTTCACTTGCTCTCGAAGTCCGTTCCGTGGCGAGTTCGGAGCGTAGACCTCGCTGCGAAAAATTCGCCGTTTATCTTCGTCGCGTGAAGATTGTTCAATGAAGACCTTGCAGATATGGTCGCGCCACGTACATATGGCGGTCCAGATTTCGCGGTGAAATGATTGCCGCGGAAATTTCGGTACAGTACACGGTTTAGTCAAGGCACTTGGCAGCTCACTCCTCACGACATCTACCCACCCACCCCACACCCGACTCTCTAACTCAACGCCGCCTCATGCCTTGACTTCCCCGTGTACCATCCGTGTGAGCTCATTGGAGTGGAGCTTTGAGAAGGAAGAAAAGAACGCAAAAACGCAACATCGCTGAATTATATGGAGCGAATGAGATGCTCGAGGGAGATGCAAGGAAATAGAATTCTACAGCATCTACATGGGTGCAGTGCGGTAAACGGGGCGCGACACCATGCCGTGCTGCCGCCGTGTGGGAGGGAATTCGTGAATCCTGACACCAGGCTATGTGCGCGGTGCGAAAAAGTACAGTGTGATGTGAATGGATGGATGGTGGTGGTGCAGTTGACCGCAACGGTGGGAAGGTGTGGTGAATGGGGTGGCTTGTGTGATGAACTAATGAAATGCAGCACCGAGATGCAGTGGCCAATTGGTCGAGCGGCGCGTGAAGAACAGTTTGAGGTGGCTGAAATTTTGCCCCCGCCCTGTTCATTCTGTTCAGCCAGTAGTACAGCACATTCATTCTTCACATTCAGGTTATACAAATCAGATTGAATTGTCCGTACGCAAACGCGTTTGCCAAAGGCGAGTATTGGTGGTTTGGGGGGGAGGTTTGTTTTGTTGAGCATGCTGGTGTGCAACAGCAAGGACAGGCTCGAGCTTTCTAGGAGGTGGTTGACGTGGCGCTGTTTTTAGTTGGGCCGCAAGTTTTTTTAGCTGATCCGCGTGGGTTTTGCGTGAGGTGCGGGACGGCTTTGGTTTGGTTCAGGCAAAGTCAGCTGGCCCACTCTCATCCTCCTAAACCTGTTCGGGCAGCTGGAATATGAATGGATGGATGAGAAGAATTTTACGCGAACCAATGGAAGGAAGGAGTTTTTGACACCCTGGCACAACCACCGGACCTGGTACCGGACCGGGTACTCCGAACCTGCCACCACTACTTCACCTGCCATTTCCCAGATGTATGTGACTTCCATTAGCTCACTCACACTAACTTGCATTTAGTAGTAGTTTCGCCACACATTTCGTTAGTTTCGATAGTTATTTTGTGTGAAGAGAGATCTCTGGGTAGTCGGTCTAAGTACAGCTTTTAATGGCATGCCAGCAGTATCAGATCTGAATAAATATCGTAGTCTCGGTAAGACAGTCTAAGTTGCGCGCCCCAGGTCTGACTTCTATCCACATGTAGTAGCGCACGGAAAATAGTAACATTCGTAGCGGAAGAACTAGTAGCGTCGATTTCTGACGCTGCATTAGCGACTCGCGTTTCGTCGATTAGACAGCGCGTTTCGTCAACTTCACAGCGTCGACGGTATTCTGGACGCAAGACGCGGAAAAGGAGGTGAGTGGAGGTGACGGTAATTTCCACTTCCCCCTCCCCTTTACGCCTTCCCCCTCGTGACTTCAGAGCGTCGACTATATTCTGGACGCGAGACGCGGAAAAGGAGGACGGGAGGTGAGTGGAGGTGAGAGGAGGTGAGCGGAGGGCAGAATAGGGGGAAATGGACGTAGTGGACTGGAGAAAGGGAAAAGCGCCCATTTCCTTACCTTTCTGCTTTTCCCCTACCCTTTCCGCTTTTTCCCTCCCCTTTCCGATTTTTCCCTCCCCTTTCCGCTTCCCACCCACACACCCCCCCCCTTTCCCGCTTTTCTCCTCCCCTTTCCGCCTTTTCTCTCCCTTTTTCGCTTTTCCCTTCCCCTTCCCACCTTTCCCTCCCCTTTCCGCCTTTTCCTTCCCCCTTCCGCTCCCCCCTCATCTGCCAGGATCTGCCAGGACTTGAGTGCGCATCGACGGTCCCAGCCTGGACGCAAGACGGGGAAAAGGGAGGACGGGAGCGGAGGGGAGGTGAGCGGAGGGGAGAAGAAAGACGAGAGTGGGCGGAGCGGAGGCGAGAAAGAGGGGAAATGGACGGAGAGGACTGACGACAGGAAAAAGCACTCATCTTTCCCTCCCCCCCCCCTCCTCCCCACCCCCGTTCCCCCCCCTTCCTCCTTTCCGCCGCCCCCCTTTCTGCCCTCCCCTTTCCACTCCCCCCCTCATCTTGCTGGTGTAAGGTGAGTGGAAGGGACTATTTCTGAGGTGAGTGATTGGGTATTGGACAGGTGAAAGCCTATTTAACATGTTCACTAATGTATTCGCACAATCTCCAATGTGGCATGACATGGCATGAAACGGCATGGTGGTGCATGGCATTGTGTGGCATGCCATGGTGTGGCACGCAATCAGCAGGCTTTCAACAGGTTGAGAGAGGAGGAAAGAGGAGGGGTGAAGGGGTGTGGCTCTGCATGCACCGCGTCGCATCTCATCACCTTTGAATCTAATTTGTAGTTACTCGTTCATTTGCCATTCTGTCAGTAGTGGTCTCTTCCAGATACCGTACGATGCTCTCAGCATTGGTTTCTTCTACCGTACTTACTCTCTGCAGTGGTCTCTCTGAGTACCGGCAGTACCTTACTAGGAACACGCCTGAGCTTCCTATGTTATTGGATTATGCTCCCTATGTTATCGTTAGAACAAAAGCATGCATGGGCGGAAATGCTCAGTTGGGTGAGTGGACCACAATGAAATAACTCTCAAGAGGATGTACACTACACTACCCAGGAAAGCTCTGTATCACTATCTCACCATCTCATACTGTACTATCTCAAAGAATACATGGCTTCATCAGCCATCAGGACAGGCTCCCCTGTGCCTGCTCACTGGCAGCACCGGGCCAGTGGCACGCGCCGTACTGCTGCTGCGGCTTGGTGGGGCGGCGGCGTGGGGCAGGGGGCAGCACGCCCATGGCCTCGGCGACGGTGGTGACGCGGCACTGCATGCCCGGGCGCACCACATCGCCGTACACCGCCATCTCCACCAGATCCAGGTCCCTCTCTGCCCGTGGAGGGGAGGGGAAGGCGAGGGGTGGGGTGGGGTGGGGTGGGGTGGGATGGGGTGGCATGAGGAGTGGAGAGGGGGAAATGAAGAGGTGGGTGGGAAGAATGGGGGACTTGAGGGGTGAGGGTGAAGTATCTGGACGTGAAAAGGGGTTGATGTGTGGTGGTGCAAAGAACGGAGGAGCATGGAGCGAGGAGGAAGCGCTACCATTGAGAGCGAGGTGACAGGAGATAAGAAAATACGAGCTTTGAGTCAACTCACAGACCACGTCGAAGCAGGAAACACCATGGGCAAGGAGCAGGGAGCAGGGAGCAGGGAACGAGCAAGGCGCAAGGAGGTAGGAGCAAGGGGTAAGCGTTACGCAAGGGTTACCAGTGAGGGTGAGGTGGCAGGAGGCATGGGAGTACTCCTGTGGTGAGAGCTGGTCCTTGTCTGACTTGAACCGGTTCACCCGCGTCTGCAGCACCTGACAGTTCTCCACCGATGTGGCCCCGCCTGCTCCCGTGCAGTGGCGTCAGGGGGAGGGCAGGGACGGAACAGTGGTGCAAGGATGATGCACAGGAGGAGGTGCAGGCATGTGGATGGTGGGTAATCAGTGCATTCAGAGCATAGGCTAGCTGGGAACTTTGAGGGTGCTAGAAGCAAGCACGCAATGACCCGCACAAGCACATGCGGAACAGTCACCGCGTCACATGGTTACCAGTCCGCACTACTGCTGCTGCTGCGCACTTATGACCCTGCACCACTCTCGCCCTCCTCCACCCCTCTCTCACCCCGACCTGCACGTGCGTCTCACCCTTGGAGTAAGGCACGATGTGGTCGAACTCGTAGCACAGGCACCCCATGCACGCGTTGAACCGCCGCCCCACCGTGTTGCCCGCCGCGTCCATGCGCCACCTGCCAGCCCCGAACAATGCGCGCCGCACGTGGTGGGGAGAGAGGAGGTGACTTTTGGGGCGAACTCTAAGGTCACCTCGCCATCCGGGCCCGTGCCCGTTGCACGTGGCGGGGAGAGATCTTGCGAGGCCAGGCGAGAGGGGAAGGGCGAGAAGAAGAGAACAAAAGAAGAGACGAGGCAGGAAGAGAGGGGATGTGAGAGCAGGTGGTATGTGCGGTGGGAGTGCGCGAGGGCAGCGGCAGCGGCACTGGCACACCTGTCCGGGTGTCGCCCAGGCACCACGTCCGCCTTCTCCCAGCACGCCTTGCGCATCGCATGGTCGAAGAATCGCAGCCGTCGCCCGTCGCACTGCGACCCCTGCGCGTCGCCCGCGCCGTCCGGTCTGCTCGACGCGCCCGCGCCAGTGGACTCCGCGTCAGTCCACCCGCCGGCAGGCACCGCGTCCTCCATTCCGAGCCCTCGCCGCGCCCTTCACTCCACGTGACGGGCCGCCGCTTTATGCTACTGCCGTGCTGCGAGCGGTGTGCGGCGTGGTGCGTGCTTGGCGGTGGCCGCCACTCGCGCTCGCTCGCTTCAGCTACAGCAGCGCGAGTCGCGGGAGCGTGGATCGCGGGGCGGGGATTGGCGTGGGTGGTTGTGGGGGGATGAGAGTAGGTGAGGGGATATGATGTAGCGGGGAGAAGTAGGGCTGACTTTGCGTTGGTTTGGGTCCGTTTTGGCTGCAACGCTACACTTGTTCGCACAATTTTCACGATGATGATCCCAAACCCAATATCTCGGACTTCACAACACAGATTTGCGCACCACGTCAATTGAAAACGACCATTTCCCAGCGCTTCTTCTACCCCATTCCCGCAGCACCGAAGATGCCAGATGCGGTGTGCCCGTCAGCCGCGTGAACATCGAGGCAGCTCAGCTCCGTAGTTGTTAGCCTCTCGCGAGCGAGCACGAGGAGTCGTTTTTCAAAGGCCTTTGAAAGAGTTCTCGTGAACGTCGAGGCAGCTCCACGTCGTGAAATATAGCGAGCCATAGGAAAGAAGGCGTGTGTGTAGTTAACGCGTGAGACTTTCGATTAGAAGCGAGGTGACTCACGAGTCGACTCAGAAGGCGCGTGTGAGGCGAATCGTTGACAGTTCTGATCCGAAGCGGCGAGCGGGGATGAAGGTGTACGCGCACTGGGACGGCGATCCGCAGTTCACGCTCATCGCCGTAGTCGCGGATCGCGCGGCCGCGACGAGCGCAGGCGGTACGAGCTGCGTGCGGACAGCAGCGGAGCTCATCGCGGTGAGGTGGTGGGCGCGTAGGAGGGTGGAGGGTAGCAGCTCCGCAAAGTGACGAGACATGCGGCATCCGCGCTCTCTCACGCTCACTCTCCCACTCTCACTCCCCCGTTTCACTCCGTACTCTCACTCATCACCCGTCCGATTATCCTGGCATCGCATGTGCCCCGCCTCCCTTCCTGTGCGTAATTGCATCTAACGCCGTTCACTCAACTCAACCGCGCCTCCTCGCCTCTCCCCCTCCTGTCCCCCTGTCCCACCTGCACCCCATCCCCACCAGCGGTTCGCCTCCGCTTTCAATGCCAAGGTATGCCCATGCCCATGCCCATGCCCATGCCCATGCCCATGCCCATGCCCATGCCCATCCTCTTTCATCTCCCACTGCCATCTCATGCTCTCCCCCCACCGTCCTTCCCTACTCCCTTGTTCCACTCCCCTCGTGCTCCGTCCCACCTCCGTCCCCATGCCACTGCAACCATATCTCCTCGCCCATCCTTGCCGCCCTTGCGGCATGCTCACCCCCTCTCTCTCTCTCCTCCCTTCCGTGTCACCCCGTGCCCCTCACACCCCTCCGTACTACCTACCCCACCCCGGCCCGCCACACCCCCACCAGCACCCCTCCCACGCCCCTCTCTCGCCCTCACTTCTCTCCCTCCACAAGTCAAGGTGAGCCGGCCCTACCCACCCATGCTCCATCACCCATGCTCCATCACCCATGCTCCATCACCCATGCTCCATCACCCATGCTCCATCACCCATGCTCCATCACCCATGCTCCGTGCCCACGCGCCCTGCCTCATCGCCAAATTCCGCCATGCCATACACACTCTGTAGATGCGGATGTGCGCAGTCGTCCCTTTTCTCCCTTTCCTCCCGGCCCCATGCCTCCCATCTCATGCAACTGCGCCCCTCCAACCCGCCACTCTCCCTCCGTTTCCCCATCCTTCCCGCTGCCATGCCATGCCATGCCATGCCATGCCATGCCATGCCATGCCATGCCATGCCATGCCATGCCATTCCTTGCCTTGCCTTGCCATGCCATGCCATGCCATGCCATTCCTTGCCTTGCCTTGCCATGCCATGCCATGCCATGCCATGCCATGCCATGCCATGCCATGCCATGCCATGCCATGCCATGCAGGGGTCAAGTGGTGGGTGGCAGCACAGCGCTGAGCAAGGCAGTACAAGACCTGTGAGTCACACCTTGTGCTGACACCATCGCAGCAAGCCACAAGCCATGCGCACATGCACCACGTGTGCCCATGCACCACGTGTGCCCATGCACCACGTGTTACCATGCACCACGTGTTACCATGCACCACGTGTTACCATGCACCACGTGTGCCCATGCACCACGTGTGCCCATGCACCACGTGTGCCCATGCACCACGTGTGCCCATGCACCACGTGTGCCACCACCGTCTCCCACTATTCACCACACCTTCTTCTGGAGTCATCCTCCCTGCTCTATGCACCCCTCACTCTTTCCATGCATGTAACCACCCAAATACCTGCCCCCTGCTCTCTGACTTCCTAATCCGTGCCTGCATGCCCCACCCTCCAGGGATGACCTCTTCGTCCGCCACAAGCCACCGCCACACAAACCATCGCATGACAGCAGCAGCAGCAGCAGCAGCAGCAGCAGCAGGGGGCGGCGAACGGGGAAAAATCCCCAGTGCAACCTCCCGACCATGGTGCCGCCACCGCACCAACTGCTGCCCCCCCCACACGCTCTCCTCCCCCAGCTTCTCAAACCACCGCCCCTCAGCCTGCTCCTCCTGCATCCGCCATCCCCTCAGCACCCGCCAAGCACCTCTCAAGCTCATCCCGTGTGCCGTCTGTGGCCCCTGTGACACCTGTGCCGTCTGCCTCTGCTGCCACCACCCAGCGCACCACAGCTGCTTCTCTCGCACAGGTCAGGCTGTGTACCCGCTTGTCAGCCGTGCCGTTTACTCTGCTCTCCTTGCTGCACCTCTGTCTCACCTCCCACCCACTCCACATGCCTGCTGCACCCCCGCATCCTCGCCTGCCCTTGCTCCAAGCCCCTGTCCCACCACACTCACGCACCACCTCAGAGCCCTCCCTCCACCCCTGCTTAATCTTCTCCTGCTCTCTCCCGTTCTCAACTCTTCGTACCTCACCCCTGTCTCTGCCAGTCGCCCCTCGCGCTGCCGCTGGTGCGCCATGCAGCACAGCAGCTGCTGCAGGCGCAGAGGAAGGGCCAGTACCGGGCACGATGGCTGCTGGAGTGTGGGGCACAGAGGGGATGGGGGGTTGGCATTTGGAAGGGGGAGTAAGGGGGGCCCGGGGGAATAGACGGCCTCCTGCCTGTGCCATGCTGCTGTGCCATGCCTGTTCACTCGTGCATTTTCCAGGGGTGTGGTTCTGTGCTTGCAGTCGTATTCACTTGGGTTATGGCTTTGCCTCTGGTAGCGAGTGTAATGTGTATGTGTGTGAGAGAGGGTCAGGAAAAAAAAAAGAAAAAGGAGAGCAGTGTGGGGCCTAGCATGGGTGGCACGAATGAACTTGTGCACTCCTCAGTATTCCCCCCCCCCATCAACGGATCACCACTGCGTATTCCTGTTCACCACCACTATTCCTCCTCTCTGCATCTCTCCCTGCTCTTCTTTCCCCCACCCCACCAACTCGCAACCCTTCCCCCCCCGCCCACCCCCATGGCAGCACGCCATGCTGCTGGCCAATGAGCTGCTAGCAGTGGCACCCAACCTCAAGCTCGCCTACAGGGCACTGGGTGAGTTTGCAAAGGCAGGGGGGAGTTTAGGAGTGTCCGCATGGCGTTGCACCCATCGTGTGAATGGGTCGCCATATAGCGTGGTAGCCGTCATACCTCCTCAAACCCCACTCCGTCACAACTGGTGCATCCCATCCCATCCCATCTCATTCCATCCATTCCCATCCCATCCCATCTCATTCCATCCATTCCCATCCCATCCCATCTCTCATCACGCTCTTCCCCTGCCCCTCTCCGCCCTTCCCCCCCCCACCAGCGGCCATGCACATGGCCATATCGCGCCACGACCGCGCTCTCCCAGTGCTACAAGCAGCCGTGGCAGCACACCCCGCCGACCCCCTCCTGCACCTGCGCCTCGCGCAGGCCACTCTGCACGTGCAGCAACCCACTGAAGCGCTCCCCCTGGCTGACCGTGCGCTCTCCCTCGCGACCAAGCAGGGCTGGCCGCAGCAAAGCAAGCGCAGGGGCGCGGGGAAGGGCGGGCGAGGGGGGGGCATGGTGGGGGTGCTGGGCAGCAAGCAGAGTGCCGCACAGATGATGCGCCGGGCTAGGGTGAGCGGGCAGCAGGCGGCTGAAATGTTTGGTCTGCCCGAGAATGAGGAGGAGGAGGATGATGATGATGAGGAGGGGGATGGGGGGAAAGGGGGGAAGGGTGGTGGGAGGAAGGGCGGCGGAGCAGGGGGAGCATGGGATGTGGACAGTCCGTATGCGGGCGATCCACATGGCGATGTCTCATTGGACGACATTAAGGTGGAGTGTGGGCGTGCGTTGCTGCAGGCGGGGGCGGTGGACGTGGCAGCAGCAGTGGTGGCGGGAGTGCTGCAGGGCGACGAGCACCATGAGGGCGCGCTCCTGCTGTATGGTGATGTGCTGCTGCAACAACGCAAGGCACAGGCAGGCACACACACACCACAGGGAAATTCAACGGAACGCCCAGAGGGTTCTGGTGCGGAGAGAGAGGTGAGAGGCGAGACGGAAGGTGGGAGGATGCACGAGGAGGAGGAGGCGATGAAGGCGTACCTGCGCGTGCTACTAGCACACCCACAGCAGTCCACGGCTCGCGCCAAGATCGCCCACGTGCTGCAGCACCACGCCTCCGCGCGCCGCCTGCTGCTCTCCCAGCTGCGAGCCGGCGCAGGAGCTCCTGCGGACACGGCGCGTGCGCTGGTGTTCTTCGCCTCAGCATGCAAGGACCACAGTGCGTTGGACGCCGCGTGTGAGTTCATGCAGGTCGCTGTGGCGCTCGCTCCTGGGAGCAGCAGTCACGTGCTGGCGCTGCTGCATCTGCATGAAGTCATGCTCAATGGCTGTGCTGCGCTGCACCTCGCGCGCTCCTTCTGCGAAGCACGCCCTGGGTTTCGCCTCGGTCCCATCACGCTTGGCTCGGTTTTGCCGTTTTTGCTCGGGCTGCCCATCCACCCGGGCAGCTGCGAGGATGCTTCTCCCTGCCCGCATGAGCGGGGCGTGCAGCTGGAGTTCCTCCGGAGGTGGGATGGTGGGGGCGCACAGGAGGGCGGTGGTGACGAGCTGGGGGCCGGTAGTGCCAGGGTGGCCAGTAGGGGTGCAGAACGCAATGGGGCAGATAGCAAGGGGGACAGTGGCGGTGGCGGCGAGGGTGGGGAAGTGGCAGGAGTGGGAATGGGTAAGGAGGAGTACAATCCAGAGCAACTAGACATACTGGCGCTGCTGATGACGACAGTGAAGGCGCTGTTCCTGGGAGGGGCCGTGCAGCGTGCCAAGGCGGTGGGAGCGCTGGTGGAGCGAGCACGACTGGCGTCTGCGACGCCCCTGCATCAGACGCTCATTCGCAACGAGGCGGCGTACTTTGGCTGTGCCTTCCAGCTGCTCACACAGTACCCCATCCCGCACTCCCTCTCCGACAATGCACCAGAGCCACTGTTCCTTGCTGGTCAGTCCTGTTTCTCTTCCCCTCTGTCTCTCCCTTCTCTCCGCCATGTGTTCTGCCCCCTCCGTTCCGTCGTCCTTCCCTCCCTGTTTCCGTCCATCCCCTCGTCTCTTCCTGCCTTGCCTCCTCGCTGCCAGTCTTCACTGCATTGCATATTCCCCCTCCCCTTCTCCATCCCTTCACCAGCATCTCACTCCCTGCCACTAGCATAGTCCCATAAGCACACCTTTGTTCCCTCTCTTCGCTCTCTATTCCCTCCAACAGGCGACAGTCACTGCATGGCGGCAGCGTGGCGGGTGGTGCAGCTGAGAGGGCGGCCGCGGCTGCTGTGTCCGGTGCTCATCACGGGGCTCAAGGCGTGGCACCTGCGCCCCGAATCCACCTTCTTCCCCAAGGTCACCATCACCACCCCACTGCATTCGCATCGCCTCCCATCCCACTTCCACTCATATTATTCCGCTTCTCGCCCTCACTTCTGCATTCCCCTAGCTCTCGCTTTCTCATCCCTCTCACTCACTCACATCTGCTCTTTCCCCTGCATGCCACGCCACCACGTCTCCTCCCCTGCATGCATGCACCAACCAGGCGTCGTTCCACCGGGCCATGCAGCGAGTGCCCAAGGGCAGTGAGGTGGTGGTGCTGTTCGGGGAGATAGACTGCCGAGAGGGCATCCTCATCTCTGTCGATCGCACCAAGTACAAGGTACAATCCCTCGCCACGCCTTCGCGCTGCTCCCTCCACCTTCTTGAGCTCTTCCCCCCATTGAGCTCTGTTCCTCCTTCTTCGCAATGCTTCTTCCTCCCCCAGCATAACCACACCGCATCACTTCCCACTGCCGGCGTCACATCGGTGTCACAGCTTGCCTCGTTGCCTAAAGCCCTGGCTGCACCTGCCGTTCCCCACTGCATGCTTCACACCGCTGTGCCACATTCCCTCTCCACCCTTTCGCTCCCCGCCCTCTGTTCTTTCCGTGCTTCCCGGTTCCCTTTCTCGCACGGCAGGACGTGGAGGAGGGGGTGCAGGTGACAGTCGACATCTACATCGCAGTGCTGCTCGCGCTCATCGCAGCGCGCGCCTTTGAGATCTTCGTGCACCCCGTGCCCTCGGTCATTCTTGAGACGCGTCCGCTCGCGCGCATCTACAACGCCACGCTGCGCCGCCGCTGCCTGGCTGCCGCTGCCACCGCTGCTGCTGGGGGGCGACTGCACATGCTGGACTTTTTCAATGGCCTGCTCACTGACGATCAAGGTATGCGTGCGTGCCCATGGCTTAAAGCAGTGGGGAGAGGACTTTTGAGGCGCCTCAAAAGCCTCCCCTGCTGCTGGGGGGCGACTGCACATGCTGGACTTCTTCAACGGCCTGCTCACTGACGATCAAGGTACTATATGTGTGAATGGCATTAAGCAGTTGGGGGAGCTGCGGGAGGGTGAACACGGGAGAGGGTGATGGAGATAGAGTGGGCAGGGGGCGATGGTGATCTGTTTGTGTACCATGCTATACTCGTAGCTTCTGTGCTTCTTTCCGTGTCGTGCCTGAGTGTGTATTGCATGCCTTACCCAGCGACTAAATGTTCTTGTGCTAAACCCTGTGCTCGCCCGCTCACCGTGCAGAGTCGCTGCGGCGTGAGTTTGAGTTTGATGGGACGCACATGAGTCCTCTCTATGTGCCTCTCCTGGACAAGGAGCTCTCACGCATCGATGCAGAGTGACATTAGTCCAACCGGAATCACTCATGCACGGAGAGTTTCATTGAGCACGGTACAAAACAGGGTCCGTTCAATCCACCATAGGTGTGGAGAAGTGGTGTAGGCAGGGAATTGGGATGGTTCACATAGGCTGATATCAGATCAGGGGAAACGTGCTAGTCACTTCACTTGAAGCAATGACAGGACAGTTATTGCTGGTTGGCGATTGTGTGTATGATGCTATTTAGGCTCATTTTTCATTGGATTTAGTTTAGCGTACAATTCAACAACGCACCCAGAGTTCCCCTGTTGTGCTACTACCGTAATGTTGTGTACCAGTTGACAAGAATTCCGAATCATCGCATATAGAGTCTCAAATTTCCCTTGCACAAAGGTGTTCAAGTTGGTTCGGGCTGTTGCGCCTGTGTCAGCCGTTCGGCCCCCACACATACCACCACACGTACGTCGCGCAGCAGCAGTGTCTCGCGAAGCAGCAATCAGCCGTGCGCCATGGATGGAGGCGAGGAGCACGAGAGCGGGGCTGGCGCGTTCATGCCGTACATTAATAAGCGCAAGCGGAAAAACGCCGGCATCACCGTGTCCTTCGACGAAAACGCCAGGAGGTGCGCTCTCGCCCGCTCTTCCCCAATCGCCCGCGCTCTCCGTGGCACCATGCGCCCTCGCGCTTGCGTCGCCATACCCTCAAACCCCCTTTCCCCATTATTCCCATGTTCGGAACTTCCGTCTGCACGTGTAGACCCTCTGAGCAAAACCCTCGGCCCTGTGCCCTGAACCCCCCGCTCGGCGCGCAGGGAGTTCGTGTCGGGGTTTCACAAGCGCAAGGTGGAGCGGCGGCGAGTGGCGGAGGAGAAGCAGAAGCGGAAGAAGCGGCAGAAGCACCTGCAGGAGCGCGCCGAGGTGAGCGCAATGCGCACTGCCCACCTGCTCCCTGCCTCGCCTCCCCGTCCGGGCTGCCTACGCGCCTGCACTTGTTTCTTGCTCTGCGCCTCACCTCGCCACTCCGGTTCAACCCCGCTGCCTTCTCGCCATTGCCGAGTCCTCTCTCGCACCCCGAGTCTGCTCTCCCTCCCCACCTTCTCCCCAGCACCGCCTCAACCCCTCATACTCGTGCTTCCCGCTCTGCCTGGTCCTCCCTAATGTTCTCCCCGCGCTCCTTCCAACCCCGCCCATGTCTCCCGCCGCTCCCCCTCTCCTCACATTCAACCAACACCACCCCCCCACCCCACCCACCCCACCGCACACCAACCCCGCTTACTTGCCCCGCAGCGACGACTGGCGGCAAAGGTGGCACGGGGGGAGGTGGTGGCAGAGGAGGGGGAAGGGGGTGGAGCAGCAGATGGTGGGGACGAGGAGGAGGAGGAGGAAGAGGAGGAGGAGGAGAAGGAGGGGGGGGGTGGAGAGGAGGGTAGGGAAGGGGAGGAGGTGGATGGGAAGGAGGAAGCGGGGTTTGAGCGGCAGAATGAGCGGCTGCTGTCTCTCGGTCGCACTCCGGCTGCTGCCCCTGTTGGTATGCCATGCATGCCATGCCCTTCCCACTGAGCGTTTCCTCCTCCTTCCCTTTGACTGCATCGTTTTTTCACTCCGTGACCGCCCTCCTGCACCTGCCCGATCTCCTTCTGCTTCCCAAGGTGCATTGTGCTGCTGGCACATGAGTGGTTGTTCCTTTCCTCCCATCCCATCCCCCTGTTTCCAAATGGCATGCGCTGCGTTGCGTTGTGCACCTCTCTCCCTCCCCTGTCGCCTGTCCCCACAGTGCTTCACTACGACAGTGGCAGCCTGGAGACCTTCGTTACTGTCACCACCGACTTTGGAACACATGAAGACGAGGGGAGGGCCGCCAGTGAGGAGGAGGAAGAGGGGGAGGAGGAGGGCGGTGCTGTGAGGAATGGTTTAGGGAGAGTGGGAGGGGTGAAAGCACATGGGCATAGTGAAGGGGGTGGAGGAAAGAAGGGTGGTGGGGAGAGAAAAAGCACTGCATTGCAGATAGCCAAGGGTAGCTGCAGGAAAAAAGGGAAGAGTGGAGGGAGGCAGCAGATACGCAGGAGGAAGAAGTCGGGAGAAAAGGGGAAGGACCTGAAAAGGAAAAAGCGGCATGGAAAATAGGGGAGGATGTGGTCATTGTTTTCTGCATTCACCCATTGTTTCTTTACAGATCCTCCTAGTGATACCTATCAGCAGAATGCTGGGCAGTGGCACACCAGTGACTTGCACTCTGCGCAAGCAAGGCAGAAGAATGCACAACATCAATCACCCAATTCTTCTGGAGACATTCATCAATTACGGTACAACGAACTGTTTCACATTCCACATGATGTATGCAAGCACCTGCATCTTGCCATGCCATGCCATGCCCTCATCCACACACCACCCCTCTATTGCCGACTTCGTCCACTGTTGGCTTGGCCTAAGGGCGTGTTCCTTCCTACAGTATGCTCTTATGAGGGAAACCTCTTGTCATCAGCCTTGCCTGGTAGAAGTAGCAAGGGTTTTTGGGTTTCGGGAATTTTCAGTGTGTTTTGACGCGAGCTTGACAAGAGGTTGGCCTGATAGGAACATGCCCTAATATCGTAAGTACATGATTTATTATAGAATAATTATATACATTATAAAGATGCCCTAGTGTAGCTCACACCTGTAGTGGTGCAGGGCAAGGGGAGGAAGTGGAGGTCAGCTCTTTGCTTCTTTGCACTTCCAGCCCTAATCTTGTGTTTACCTGTCAGTTGCCCCCGTCACAGCACACCATGGATGCGTGCCAATTACCCACACAACACAATGTTGTGCCTGGTGTGGGATGGCCGCGCATGGCATGACATGGTATGCTATGTAGCAGGCAGGCGGGCAGATAACAGTTCATCGCACCATCAGCACCCCCTTCCAGGGCCCAATGCTGCCGACGGGTAGGATGTCGTAAGGCATGCATGCAGTAGAGTAGAACGGATGGTGGTGGGCAGAAGAGGAGGCCCACATGGTGATGTGAAAGGGGGGAGGTGTAGCGGCACAGCAGAGGAGTAAGAGGGCCAAGGGACAAGTAGTTGGGTAGCAGCCGCTCCAATCAGGACAGATGTGAGTCATGCCACCACCAGTGCACCCCACGCTGCGCCCTTCCGCCCACCACACCTCATCGCACCCCCTTGGACCACTGCCGTCTCCACCCCACCCGAGCCTTCCAGCGGCTCTTTGCCTCCTCCGTCCACCTCCCTCTCGCCCCCGGCCTTTTCAAGCGCCGTCTGCCGCTCCCTCGCGCTGCTGTCGCCGCCTGCCCTCTTCCCCCGGCCGGCCCTCTCAAGCCCCTCGTCCACGAGAAAGTAGGCCGGCAGGTGCGTTCCCCCCATGGGAGTCCGCGGCAGTGCAGGGGGGTCAGCGGCGGGCGCGGGGGCGGAGAGGGGCGCGGAGGAAGGTGGAGATCGCGAGCAGCAGCAGCAGGTGCAGGTGCGCGCGAGGGACATCTGACGGCACGCGAGCAGCCAGAGCGAGGGGCAGAGGTCGGGGGGTTGCGAGGCGGAGGCCATCCAGTGCGCGGCGTCGCTGACTCGGAGCGCGTGGTTGGGTAGCGTGTCGTGCACTCCTCCTATCGACGTGTACCTGCACGTCAGCGCGCACGGGGGCGAGGAGACATAGCGGTGAAACAATGCTGAATTGCTGGGTGCAGTTAAACTTAGAAAACACGCAGACGGAGGCCGACAGAGGCAGAAAGAAGTTGACGGAAGCAGATCTGACGAGCAGAGCACACGAGGGAGCGAGGCAGCAGACATGCGGCATACCCCTGGTCGTAGAGGCAGCAGTAGGGCACGCGCGTGAGCAGCAGGAACTCCCAGACGTCGCGGTAGGTCCAGTGGAGAATCACGTTCACGCGCATGAACTCGGGCCACCCGGGCGAGCTCGCCGAAAACACCTCCTGCCCCTTCTGCGGTAACAGGATGCCATTCCGGACCACCATGGGGCAGGGAAAGGGAGAGGCAGAGATACTTAGTGCTTCGTACCGATGACGGACAGTTTTGGCGGTAAGTCACTCCGGCTAGATTTGTTTTCAGACTCAAGAAGACCGGCGGGCGGGCGGAATTGGCAGGAACTCACCCCATTGGGGTCGATGCTTCGCACGCCCAGGAAGATAGCTTTGACGGGCCGCTGCTGCTGCAGCGCGCCGAGCCCCTCCTTGAAGGAATCGCCCGTCTCCACCAGGTCCAGCTTGTACCTGCCCACGCGTCGCCGCGGCGCGCGGGAGAAAACGGGACGGCGCAAGAAACAGGAGACGATACGGGATGATGGCACAGATTAGAGACATAAACAGAAACCACGACCAACAAGTGCCGCAATGCGATGCTGGCGAAAGGGCGCGACGAGAGCGGGGTTGAGGGAGAGGGCGAGAGCGTGGGGCACGCACTTTTGCGCCATGTGGAGAGTGAAGGAGTCGATCTCGGGAAAGGCGTCGCGGTCGCGGAAGTAGATGGCGCACAGCCCGTCGGCGCCGCGCACGGGCGGCTGGCGCGGCGAGATGCCGTACGACGCGACCTTGGACAGTCTCTTGCTCAGTGGGAGGTGCGAGGCGGCGTGCTGCAGCTGCAGGCCCGGAGAGGAGGAGGAGCGCGGAAGGACCTGCGACTTCTGTGCTAGTGCGGCGCGCAGGAGATGCAAGATGACCTGCCCAAGGGGGGAAACACCGCGACCCGCCCGACAAATTGCAAAGGATTGACCAATTGAGGAACTGATTGGTGGAATGGACGAGGAGGGTCGAAATCCATCGGAGAGCAATTGGTTTGGAAACAGCGCGACTCACTGTGGAATCCTTTCCTCCGTTGAAACTGAACGCGACCTCTTGGAGCCTACACGCAGGAAAAGAAAGAAATTAGGCATTTCAATCACGCGAGGAGTAGTATCCAAGCCACGAGGAACAAGAGAATTGGCTAGAAGCATCAGGTTGCGCTTACTGGTACGTGGCGAGAGTCTGATGAATGATCGACATGGACTGGTCGACTCTCCGGCAAAGCTCCTGGCTACCGCCATTCTGGACAGCCATGAGGACCTCCATGCTGGGGAAAGGGCATGCAGAGGAATTGCGCTTGGATCGGAAGCGAGCGGGCGGCGAGGCGAGCAAGGGAGAAAGAAGGCGAAAGAATAGAGTTGGGCGAATGTATAGACGACGCTATTGCTAGTCGAAGGGATCGTGAGTCCGAGTCGAGTCGAGTTGAGTCTGGTGGGTGTGCGGATCAAATGATCATGGTCAATGCTGCGCTGGCTAGAAAGAAGCTCCTACAATCTGAGAGCCACGCTGAGGACGCAAGGCCAGGAGGGGCCGAAGTGCAGGCACGATGTTGGGCGGGACAAGTGTAGCAAAAGGGAATCAATGCGCGCTTCGACTCAACGAAGCGCATGTTTACAATCGGCGCGAGTGCATCTGCCCAATGATGTGGGATCGAATGGCCAGCGAACTGGAGCACAGCCAGTCACGCGCGTCTCCTGAGAGTGCTGGGAGAGGACATGCAAATCTGTCACTACAAGCGGCGAAAATCGTTGCCGCGCAAGCAGGGACTTTTGTGACACCCACCACCATCGAGAAGGTGAAGCCAGCTAGGCCAAGAGTGATCCTGATTGTATAACAAGTTTCAAGAGTCTGGGCAGAAAATAAACAGTTGGACTTCTTGCTAGAAGTGAGAAAATTGTGAAGCTTTTTCGGTACATATCGTTTATGGCCTTTTTTTCTTGGCAAACAAATCGTTGAAAGAAACTGCTTCACAAACCGTGTGTAAACCTGTCTCCGTAATTTGAGGAGTCTGCTGGTTCCATATCCATCCATGAATTTTGCTCATGTGGAGCCAGTCGGAGCTGTCCCCGACCTGCTTCACCTCTACTGTCTGCTGTCGTTCCAGCACAGCATGCTAAACCCCGAGGGGAGAAGTAACGAGGCGTGAAGGAGAGGACTTTATCTCCATCCGCGAAACGGTGACGCGGTATTACATATTAAGTCGTGCAGACATGGAATATTATATTGAGAAATAAAATTACAGAATTACACAGCCACGCTTGCACACTGGCTCGGACACAGTTTATCTCTTCACACGCACAACCTGAATCTGCACATTCATTGGCTGCCATGCTCATGTCAGAACACTGACACCACGAACCTAACGTCTGGTTTCGCTTGACACCAACTTGCACATGCCTGACAGGTAGGTTTCCCGCTTCACGTGAATTTTCGCATTTTGATCGAGGTCATTCTTTCTTCTGGAGACGGTAGAGTTCCAGGTGTAGCAGATCGGACGGTGCAGACATTTTGATTGGGCAAGTTGTTGCAGCTGAACGGTTCACACCAAGCCACCATTTGCCACACAGCAGCAACCCTCCATCGCCTTGGAATTCCCGCCCGTCTCCAGGTTCCCGCGCTTTCTCTCCCATGCTCTGGGTTCTGGTTGGCTTGGGTGTGTGTGCCCTTGGAGGCCCGGGCCGAACAGCAACCCCATGGCTCTCGTCTTCGGCAGCACCACGTGCCAGATCATCTGGGTGCTGTGACGAAGCTAACCGACACGAGTGCGAACTTCCGCAAGCGTGTTTTCGTAATCCAGACGCGGTAAAACAGGCTCGGGAGGAGTGTAGACACTAAAGGGGTCGTGTACGCTGATATGGGTTTTAATGTGTTACAAAACGGTGACCGTGACTTAACCACAAAAACACAACAGGGGTGGCGTTTACTGTGAGGAGGGCACAAAGCAAAGCCCAAGCCTCGCAGTGAGGCAAGAAAGGGGCTCCGGCAAGGGCCGCACCCCATCTCTGCTCTCAAGCTCTGCTTGGTCTTACAAGTTACAAGGGACTACTCTCTCTACAAGACTCCACAGATTGGATTACCTCGATTGTGCGGCACTTCGGAAATTCAGATCCGCCTCCATGTGTAGTAAGGACTGCCGCCTTTTGAACTAACCCTAAAGCCTCTTATGTGGTGATGTCAATGCAGTCCAGAGGATTTTCAGCTTCTGTGCAACTTTCACCCCATCCTGCACTAATTGAAATGTCACTTAATTCAACGGATCCGACAATAGGCAACGGAAGCCCTTTAAAAGGCTGGATGCCCCGTTTAGACTTCTCATGCGGGGCCTCCGATAGCCCTCGCCAACCACCGAGCGGCGGCGCCACGCGCAACAACGGTAGTCAGCGCCCTCTATCGCGCACGTCTCTCTTCGGCAATTCCAGCAGCGGGGTCGGGAGGAACTTGATGGATCGGCTGCAGCAGCAGGACGGCGCGGATCAGATTCAGCAGCAGCGACGACTCGCCTCGCATGGCGGCCTTTCCGCAGGAAAGGCGCTCGGCTCTTCCGCGGCTGCGGAGATGCAATCGCCTTCCAGCATGCCGCTCGGAGCCAAGATCGCTACATCCGAGGTCCCCGAATCGTCGCCGATAAGTGTGCTCTTCTGTAAGTTCCTCTGGCTGCAACCTCGGCCGTGCGATGCCGTTCGTCCGCTCGGAACTACACTTTGGTTCTTGCTTGGCTCGAAATATAATTGCAAACGTTTTCCGGTGTTAATTGATTGAGCTTCCGCGTCGGGTGTGCTTGGCATGAGCGACGAAAAATGCACTGCCGTCCGCATGCCATTGGTTAAGCTGCTGTTACTTCTCCGCTTTTGCGTCTCCCCTCACCCCTGCTCCCCGCTACCCCTCTCATCAGGCCCTCAGACGCCGTCGTCAGCAGCGTCTCCCGAGTTCCGCTTCGGCGCCAACCCCTCCCCCGAGCTCTTCTCGCCCATGCGCATGCCGCCCTTCCACCAGCTGCTCCCCTCGCCTCTCTCGCAATCCTTTTCCCTCGCCGACACGCCAACCCAGCCGCCCGCCTCAACACCAACTTCCTCCGAGCCCACGCCGGCGACGTTACCTCCGTCGCAAATGCAGTCGCCGTTGCCGTCGCCATCGTCGTCGGCGTCGGCCATGGACATAAGTTCTGTGCCGTCGTTACAAATGCCGTCGGCGTCGGCGCAAGCGCATGTGGCGGGGGAGGAGAGCCTTCCGCAGTTGGCGGAAGCCGGAGCCGGGGTTGGCAGGGGCGCGGATCAAATCGTCGCGGATCGTGCCGTTCTTGACGGCGCGGCCGACGCGGGCGGTAGCGATAAGTGTTTCTTGCGGCCCGCGCTGCCGCCTCTGAACATCGACGCGTGCAGCAGAGGGGGCAAAGTGCGCCGCGGCCATCTGCCGCCCATCCCGCTGCCGCGCAACCCGAGCTATTCCAAGGAGCACCGCCTAGGTCGCAGCGGCAGCGGGCGCAGCAGCGGCGCCTTCGAGGACCTTCTGCTCGCCGCCTCCGCCGCCTCGCCCTCCGCGCACCCGTCCCCGCCCGCCTTCGGCGCGCACCCAGCGCCGTCTGGGAGCTCCGGGGGCTGGCACTGGCAGAGCCTCAGCCAAGAGGTGCGTCGCCGCGCCGCCGTGGTGGTGCGAAGGGGACTGACCTCGCACCGCGTGGCGTCACAATCTGCTGCTGTCAGGGCGCCAAATGCTAAGCTTCACACCGTTCGCGCTTCGCTTTCTTTTCGCTCGCGCGTTCCCTTCATTTCCCCGCTTCTCGATCCCTCCCCGTTCCAAAACCCCCTATCCCTGTTTCATCCTTCCACCCGTCCACCCCCCCCCCTACATCCCCACACCCGTGCGCGCGTTCCCCGCTCCTCTCCCCCAAACCCCGTGCCCGTGATTGGCAGATGCGGTCGGCGCAGCACGCGTGGTCGCTGGAGGGCAGCGGGGTGGCGGAGGAGGGCGGGTGGGGCGCGCAGCAGGCGGAGTGGATGGTGGGCGGGGACGACGAGGGGCTGGGGTCCGCGGAGTCGCTGCAGCTGATGCGCCAATGGGAGGCGGAAGTCGAGGGGCTTCCGCTCACGGTGGGCGGAACAGTGATGATGGGCATGGGGGGGGCCATGGGGGGGGCTATGGGCGGGGGAATGGAGGGCGAGGAGGAGGAGGAGCCAGGGTCGCCCAGCACGCCCAGCATGGCTCCGCGCTCCACGGACCTCGAGTGCCCGGACGCCCCCAACTCCAGGTATGCCCCTCGCCGCGCTGCGCCCGCCTTTTCCTAGTCGCGCAATTCCACCCTCGTGTCCGCGCTGCCCTTAAATGATAGATACGTCTCCGCGTGTCCCGCGCGTTTCTGCCTGGCGCGGCAGTCGGAACGTTTGGAGTTGATGGTGCTAATGTGACGTGTGTGGGGTGGGGGGTTGTTGCGCTGCGTGCGTGTATATGTGTGTGTCTGTGCGAAACGCGGTGCGCAGGGTGCGAGGCGAGATGTGTCGCACGAGCAGTCTGCACGACACGAAGCTGCTGATGACGACGCAGCTGAAGCGGTCGCACTCCATATTCCTCTTCGACCGCCACTTCGAATTCGTGCGCGAGATAGGCCGCGGCTCCTACAGCATGGTCCGTCAGTCCCGCTCGCCTCCACGCCCACCCCCCACCCTCTTCCCTGCCCAACCCATTTCACAGTGATCGCCCCCCGTCTTGCGCCCTCTCGCCTTCCGCCCCGCCCCATCCAACTGCTTCTTGCCTCACTCTTCCTGTTTCTGCTCTCGCTCCTGGTCCGTTCCCAAAACTTTCACCATCCCCTGTACCCTCTCCTCTTACCTTTCTCATACCCCCAACCCCCCCACACCTTCCCCCCCCCCCTTCACTCCCTCCTTTTCCCCCTCCCTTTCCTCCCCCGATTCTTTCCCTCTCCCCGCGCGCGCAGGTGTACGAGGCGCGCGACCGCAAGGGCGGCGCGCGGTGCGCGGTGAAGGTGAGCAAGCGGCAGTTCCGCAGCAAGGGCGAGCGCGAGCGGTACATGCACGAGATCGAGAGCGTGGCGAACGTGCCCGAGCACGCGCACATCGTGCGGTACTACCGCGGGTGGCAGCAGGACAGCCACTTCTACCTGCAGATGGAGCTCTGTGAGGGCGGCAGCCTGCGCGCCCTCCTCGACTCGCTCCCGCACCCGCTGCCCGAGGACCAGGTGCGAGAGCATGCACGCGCACGCGTGGGGCAGGGTGCAGCGCGGGGGAAAGGGCGGGGTGGGTGGGGGGAGGGGGTGTGTTGGAATACGAGCGCCTAAGGGTTTTTTTTTATGGCCTTAGACATAAACTCGAGAAGGGGAGGAGTGACTTGCGAACTCACAGGCTGTGGTCATGGAGCTTGAGGCATGGGGCATGGGGCATGGGGCATGGCGCATGGCGCATGGGGCATGGCGCATGGGGCATGGGGCATGGCGCATGGGGCATGGGGCATGGCGCATGGCGCATGGGGCATGGGGCATGGGCCCTGACGTGGGCATGGGGCACGTGGGTGGGCGCCTGATGAGGGATAAGGGAGGTGCAATTCTGCAGTGTGACAAGGGGAGTCCTCCCTCACTTCCCTGTTCTTGGTCATACCCTCTTCATTACCACCACATGTTCCGGGTCTTGTTGCCTAACGGCTGTAGCTTGCATTGCAGTGCCTCACTGGTGTGACTGTACATGTGACTATGTGTGTGTGCAGGTGTGGAGGTTCGTGCGGCAGGTGGCATCAGGGTTGGATCACATTCACAGCAGGGGCGTGCTGCACCTGGACATCAAGCCAGACAACATCTTCATCGACGCCCATGGTACGGTGCCGCCCCCCTCCCCTCCCCTGCCATGCCTCGCCCCTCGCTTCCCCTCCCACCTCTTGCCTTCCCCCTTCGCTTGTTGATTCCTCTCATCGACCAATCCGTGTCCGCTTCTCCTTCTCTGTATTGTCACTGATTGCATGCGTGTGCGTGTTCTGTGCGCCTGTGAACCAACCCCTCCTTGTGCGTGCTGGACTTTGCCTGCAGGTAATCTCAAGATCGGGGACTTTGGGCGGGCGGTGTGGGAGCAGCGGTGGGACTGGGAGGAGGGCGACGGGGGGTACCTAGCCCCGGAGCTGCTACAGGACGAGCCGCCCACCACAGCAACCGACATGTACAGCTTCGGCGCCATGCTCTTTGAGCTCGTCTTCGCCACCCGCCTCCCGCGCTCCGGCCTACCACCCTCCGCCTGCCCCTCCCCCTGTGGCGCGCCCTCCCCTTTCAGTGCGCACGGCGCCCCCTCCCCGTATGGAATGCCGTCCCCCTACAGCCCCTCTCCGTACTGCGTGGCCTTCTCCTCTGCTGCGCCCTCGCCTGTGGCCTCCGCGCCTGGTCGCGCCAACCCCAGCTTCCCCCCGCCTCGCTCCACATCCAGGGGGGCAGGCAGCCCTGCCAAGGGGGGAGGGAGTCCGCTGAAGGGGTTGGGGGCGCGGGGGGGCATGGGGGGCAGTCCTGTGAAGCCCATGGGGGGGAGTGGTAGCAGCCCAGTGAAGGGGGGAGGGGATGGGGTTGGTAGTCCAGCAGAGAGAGGCACAGGAGGCAGCCCGTGCAAGAGCATGGGTCGTAGAGGGAGTGTGGGATTGGCAGGCGCTGTGGCAGGTGCGGCAGGGGGAGGGTCGGGGAAGGATTGGAGTGCAGCAGCAGCGGCTGCGGCAGCAGCTGTGGCAGCGGCGGATGCAGCGGTGGGTGCTGGATGTGGGCGGTCGGAGCACCTGAGGGAGCTGGTGTTTGCACTGCTGCATGGGGACGCTCAAGAGAGGCTGCAGGCACATGAGGTGGTTACAATAGCAGACGCAGTGCTGCGAGGGGAGGTGGACCTGGGGCAGGGGTGCATGCACAAGGCTCGAGAAGGGGCAGAGCAGTGTGGGGAGGAGCAGCAGCATGTGGAGCAGATGCAGGGGGGGAGTGAACCTGAAGGGCAGTGCGAGGAGGCTAATTGTGAGGATAGTGGGGCTGCTATGGCGTTGGATTGAGTAGGGGGATGGGGCCAGTGTGTTGTCATTGTATGGTGATGGGGCCTAGGCCTGTCTTGTGCTAAAGAGCCACACGTGTTGGTCAAGGCCGGAATAAAATGGCCAGTCACGGAGGTGTAGATTCTGTTTTTTTAATAGAGAATGCTAAGCGAGTTGCACGTTTGTCTGGATGTTAGTCAATCTAGCTTCGAAGAAAGCACTTCAGCAGGTATTGCTGCAATGTGAATGCACCTCTGGATGGACAGAACCTGAGGAATTGCTTGATTGCATTGCAGGCTTTACACGTGGGTTTCCCTTGCTCAGAAATTGCGCCAGCACATGCTACGGTACATCTAACCAATCTAGTTACTTGAACATCTTCAGATTTGAACCAGCAGCAGTGCAGCAGTGTCATGTGAGCAGCACCGAAAGCACAGTTTCCGACCAGTTGCCTGTCAGTCACTCCTCAACCATGCCATCAGCTACCCCTCCCCTCCCCATGCCATGCCATAAGCCACCGAGCACAGGGGCACGTGCGGTGTGCGGGCATCAAAGCCAGGCACCAAGAATGCAACCACTGTATACCCACACAGTGCCACAGCAGTGCCCCTTCTCAACCTGTCACTGCTCAAGGGCAACAGCATTTTCGCCTGCCCTGTGGAGAGATTCTGCCATGAGGGGGTGGGGCCCTCTGAAACAGGATAGGGTGCCATGCTGTCTTGAGTGGCGTGGGTCGGCATGGAGTGGCATGGGGTTACATGGCTGTGGAGTGTAGTGAAGGTGCGAGGAGTAGATGCGCCGCGTCACATAAACAGGAGCAACACCATATGTACTCAACACGTGCAACAGGTGAAATGTCGGAGGTTGAAGCAACGAGGCAACATAAGCAAGAAAAGAGATTTCCAAGTTAAGAACTTAAAACGCCTCGCGACCTAGGAGAAAATTCTCACAGTAGACCAAGCACCCATTAGGTTGTTACTGGAGCTGTAGACACTTGAGCCATGGCAGTGATAGGGACTGTGAGAGTGTCATGATGGGCGGCAAGGCGGCAGGTGCAGAGGGAAAGCTCCTACAGTGAGTAATGAGGCAAGGCAGGCAGGAGGATGGCGGTGCAGGCATTGAGCAGGTCAACTACCTGGTGCATGGGGTGGTGGTCAGGCATGCTGCAGTGGGATGCGGTGCAGCGTGGTGGGGTGCAGTGAGGCGGGGTGCAGTATGGAGGGATTGGATGTTCGTCTTGTACATGGAGGAGAAACGACGCAGGATTGAGCGCAGTGAAGGGGAGTGCAGATGAGAGGCAGCACGCAGCAGCGAGTGGAGGGTGAAGGGAAGGGGGTGAGTGCGAGTAGGTGCCATCAAGTTGGGTGGGTGGGATGGAGTGGAGCCACTGATGACTGTGCAGGTAGGCTGATACAGGAGTACTGCAAAGGGAGAGAGAACGGGGACCATGGAACGAGGCAATCGAAAGCACGGGTATGCCATCGGCACTTTCCCCACTCACCCCCCTTTCCCCACCCCCCTCCTTTCCCCGCTCCCTGTCCACGAACCACCCACCTTGCAGTGTGCGGCGATGGAGAAGCACAATGACAGTGCGCACTGCGTGGGCCTGCCTGCACCGACCTCGGTTCCGCCCCTGGCTGGTCGATCGGTTGCTGTCACGCGGAGAAAGGAGAGAGTGGGGAAGGGAAAGAGGAAGGATGGAAGAAGAGAGATGGGGACAGGAAGGAGGAAGCAGAAAGAAGAGCACACAATTCTTTCATGGTGGACCACCCACCAGGGTCATGTATGCTGCACAGCTCACCTGCAGGTGCAGCGTGTCGACTTGGTTGGTGGCGACGGTATCGGGTGTGGCTGCCAGCCACATGCTCAGCCACAGAATCTCACCAGTGAGCACACAGTATGTGCCCTCACCCTCACCTGCAGCGTGTGCTCGCATGGTTGGTGGCAATAGTATCAGGCGTGGCAGCCACATACTCAGCCACGTGTATCCATGCCACTGTGCCAAACCCACGCACAAAATAGATGTTGCTGGGGGTGATCGCGGAAGGGAGAGAAGGACAGGGGCGTGGAAAAGAATCGTCTTAGAATAGAGTCACTGTGCCAGAATGTTTGCTTCAAACACACAAGAATGCATCACAACAATGACCACTCAGTCACCAGATAGAATCTATGCGTGTGGTTACCCTATCCATGCAGTTACCAGATGGTATTCATGCGATAGAAATGGAAGTTTCCCCACTGCTGCCGCTTCACATAGAAGCCCCGCTGGCAACGGTAAGATGTGGAGGGGGAAAGAAGGGGGGAAATGGAGGGAGGTGAAGAGCAGTAGTGGATGCATAGTGCAAGGAGCACTCATGTGCCGCGTGCTGGTGCGTCTTCACATAAACGGCCCGCGCCCACTCCTGCGCGTGGGGGTACAGCGTGCACGAATTCCCGAATATGGTGGCGCGCGCATTGGCAAGGCCACTCCACCCCGGAATCTGCACCACCACGGTGCAGCGCGGGTCCGATTGGAGGTTGCGCGAGCGCATGCCGAGAGGGGACAGCAGGAAGACAGGGTCTGGGGGGAACGGAGGGGTTGGGGGGTGGGCAGGTGAGGTGGGGGTGATGAGGGGAATGGAAAGCGTTGTAAAGCTTCCACGTAGTAGGTAAGCGCAAGCGGAATGTTACTAGTGTCAACTGTGCCTCAACGAGAAAAGGACCATAGAAGCGAGGCCGGAACTTGGATGGTAGGTGAGACAGGTTCAAGTTGCGCGTGTCAAGAAGCACTTGATCTCCGACTGCTACTAAGTGATCACGTCACTGGCGATCGGCATACTGCTTCTGGAAGTCCTGCATCGTGGTGAGACGTCGCTGAGTCTTCTCCCATAGCTGCTGCATGGTGGTGACAAAGTCATGTGTGGCTTGGACGTGTGCCGGAGTGGTTGGCTGCTGTGATGTGAGTGGTTCTCATCCGTAACACAGGAAGAAAGGAGTTTTCCCTGTGGCCGCATGCTGTAAGCGAACTCAAGGGTCGGTAACTGTGTGTCCCAGTGGTTGACATCGTCTTTGCAAGCTGTGCACAGTAACTGTTCAACCACCTGATTGAGTCGCTCTGTCTGTCCGTGAGTCTGGGGGTATTATGCTGAAGACATTGCAAGCTTTGTCCCCAACAGTCCCATGAGCTCCTTCTAGAACTTACTGGTGAATTTTGGGTCTCTGTTTGAGATGAGTGTAGCAGGGATGCCGTGGATGGTGATGATGCGATCGAAGAAGAGGCGAGCAGTTTCTTCAGTAGTAGCCGTGGTGTTGGTCGGGATGAAGTGACCCATTTTGGAGAACTTATCAATCACCACGAGGATGGCGTCATGCCCTCGTGAGGTCGAAGGAAGTCACGTGATGAAGTTGAGGCTAACGACTTGCCATGGCTGCTCCGGTACGGGTAGAGGCTGAAGTAACCATGCTTTTTTCTGCTTGCTACTCTTCATCCGCTGGCACGTGTCGCATGAGGTGACGAACTGCTGCACGTCTGCTGCCATCCCAGGCCAGTAATAATACTTCGCTATCCTTGCTAACGTCTTGTTGCTCCCGAAATGTCCCGCGTATGGTACGTCGTGAAACTCATCCAGTAGGATCTGTCGGAGCAGGGCATAGTTCGGTACGCAAATCTTTCATGTGCCCTTCCTTACAGCTAAGTCTTTCTCCCACTGTAACAGCTTCTTAGTCTGTGCTGTAGCGATCTCCGCGTCCACGGAGTACTCATGTTGGAATAGACCCTTGAGCAGAGGGTTCATCCCGTCGAGCTGGATGCCTGCTACATGACCGGGACGGCTCAACGCGTCTGCCTTGTTGTGTAACCCGGGCCTGTAGATGATGTCGTAATGGAAGTGAGTTTCCAGGAAGTCCACCCACCGCTCCTGTCGTCGTGAGAGCATCGGCTGCGACTTCAGGTATTTGAGACTGCAGTGGTCAGCATAGACAGTAGTCTTGGCTCCCTCTAGGTAACACCTCCACGCCTTGAAGGCTATGACTATCGCTAAGGCTTTCTTATCATGGATGGGGTAATTCAGTTCTGCTCCGTGTAGCTTCTTACTGAGGTAGGCGATGGGCTGCAAACTGCGTCCGTGATCCTGCATCAGTACTGCTCCGACTGCCTGGTCACTAGCGTCTGCTTCCACTACCTAGTCCTTGTCTAGGTCCGGTAGGATGAGTACTGGCGCTGTGGTCAATACTGTCTATAGCTGCTCCATGGCTTGCTGATGAGGAGTATCCCATTTGTAGGGTGTATCCTTTTTCAGTAGATCGGTTAGTGGCGGTGCTATCTTAACGTACTTCGGCACAAACCTGTTGTAGTAGTTGGCGAAGCCTAGGAACTACTACAACTCCTTCACGTTCTCCGGTACTTTCCACTTCTTGACGGCTTCGATCTTCCGCGGGTCCACGTGTACGCCCTGAGCACTCACCATGTGCCCGAGAAATTGCATGTTCATCAGGGCAAAGTCACTCTTCGACAGCCTTTCGTAGAATTTGTTCTTCCGCAGGATCTCGAACACCTTCCGTAGATGCTCCACGTGCTCCTTCATGTTCTTGGAGTAGATGAGAATGTCGTCCAGGTACACCACCACGCATTCGTCCAATAGGGGCCGTAAGATGTGATTCATCTCCGCTGGAACGTTGCTGGTGCGTTGCAAAGTCTGAACGGCATCACCAAGTATTCGTAGCAGCCGTATCTGGTACGGAACGCCGTCTTGTGGACCGAGTTGTCTGCCATCTTGATCTGCCAGTAACCCGACCGTAGGTCCAGCTTCGAAAAGACTGTTGCACCACGCAGTTGGTCTAGAAGATCGTCGATGCGCGGTATGGGGTATTTGTTTTTTACTGTCTGTTTGTTCAGTGCGCGGTAGTCGATGCACATCCGTAAACTGCCGTCTAGTTTTGGAGTGAAGAGAACTGGTGCACCGTAAGGAGAGGTGGATGGGCGGATCATTTGTCTGTCCAGTAGATACTCGATCTGTTTCTTCATGACTGTCAGTTCGGTCGGA